ACTTGTCCTTCAAGTGTTTAAATCTCTTGAACTGCAGAGTATGTAGTCAGAACTTGCTGCAGTTGTGGAAAGACTCCCCTAGACTTCAGTTGGCTTGCATCAGGCATAAGGTGAATTTTCTAGTCTTGTCTTTGAAGCTGAACAGAAATATGTTTCTACTAATTTGCGTAAAAAAACAGTCAACTTCTGAACATCAGAAATACCATCCCTAACCATTTTATATGGCCAGAGGCGTGGCGATTGCTACTAATCGGACCCTGACTGGTTTCACAGACATAAAATGTTTCCCTAAGCAGCTATCAGTTTATGAACACATTCTACTTTATCTCTTACTATCTACTGGAGGTTTTGCTTTTATGTATTTTGTGTTCCAATACTTAATTTTGCTTCTCATATTCTCTTGCCTACTCCCAAGAACAACATAAAATATTTGGCTACCTTCTATATCAACATTTTCACTTTTGCAGTTAATGACATTCTTTAGCTGTTTGTTTTCAGTTTTTAAAATTAATAACTACTTTGATCTCTTCTGAGCGAACGTCTATAAATACAAACTCCAACATCTGGCCCTTTCCAAGTTACTATTCACATAATATGTTTTCTTTGTACCCGTATTACAAGGTGCAGAAAGCCTTGCTGAATTAATTAGGAATTGAGAGTGCTCAGCGGCTCACAGTTTTTGGTACAGTTTTTAACTTTCATACTGACAGCTTACTGTTTGGGGGTGGACGGGTTCTTGCAAGCATTGTAGCAGTTTTCATACATCCCTGTGGGAGAGTCACTTCCTGAATTAGGTTCTGATAAAATTAAAAGATAGTTAAACTAATTTCCTTTTGGTGCCTATACTTCTAAACACAAGCTTCAAACAGATACCTAGAGAAGTGCACTTTAATCAACTGTACTTAAACGGGTCAGTAATGGGGTACAGAACTGTCCAACTCCAGCTGATATTAGTTGTGACCAAGTTACCATCTGGTAGCTGTTCAATAGCTTATCTGAAATGAGTTTGTTGATCTCAGTCTAGTCCCGATAATACGTGTCCACAGTACAAGCTATAGCCACCACACTGATTGACACTTTCATTGGTAGTCTCAGGAATTGGATGATCATGGAAGCTGAACTACGTATTCCTCCGTAGCAGTGACTCTTCCGAGAACAAGGCAGGGATACATTAGCCGGATAGTGTGAGGCAGTTGCTCCCGTTTCTTCAAGATCTCAAATTCCTGATCCGTGTTCCATCCTGCAGCAGTTGAGCAATCTGGCCTGAGAGTCCTGAGGGGGTGTGTCCATTTCTGTTTCCCAAGCTCCACCCTTTCCTGCCAGTGCTGCACCCTTGCTCCCCCCACCATTGCACCCTATCCCCTGAGGATGTGGCTTTGAGGATTACTGGGGGCAGGAGGGGGAGTGGTTGGGTCCTCCCACACATCCCACATGGCAGAAGCTGCAGAGAAGCAGCACAAGTGTGCCTGCTAAATGTGCTTTGCTTCTCCATCTCAATAGGGGGAAGGAGTTTGAGATCTTTGTGATAAACAATGATGTCAGTCTGCCTAACAATCTTGAATATTTAGCTTCAGTGCCACTGTGAGGCAGGGCAGTGCAATTCTCCCCATCTCACTGATGGAGATCTGAGGCACAGAGAGCCTCAATGACTTGTCCCATATCACCCAGGGAGTCTCTAACAGAGTAGAGAACTGAACCCTGGATCTCCCAAGAGTTAGGACAGTGCTCTAATGCACGGTCATTCTTCTTGGTTTGGCATTGTTTGTGCCTGTGGTAAAAGGAAAAAAATTAAGTGTGTTGATTAGAAAATGGGTAAACAAGGCATAGATCAATTACAAAGCATTTTCTGTAAGCTATATATAATAAGCAGTGGATTTACATGCAGCCTGTTCCCTGTGTTTGATCTTTTCGAGAGAGAAAAGGGGAGGCTTTAAAACGTCAGTAGTGCCAGAGTGACATTTTTTTA